CGGTCAACTGAAAAAATCATTAAAATTTTTGGCATAAAAACTCTAAACTACATAAAAATCAACTTAATATCTATATACCATAGAAATTTGAGATCATTGCATTAGCTCACATATTTGAAAGAGGTGATGAAATAAATAGTAACTCATAGCTTGAATAATATGAAATTTTATTGAATTTATTTTGACCAAGAGACCAAAGGAGCAAAATGGCTCATATAACTTTATAAGAGAAAAACCTAGAGGAGACATTCTGTAGAATAAATTCCCATTTAAAAAAAAAAAAGACCCAGTTAGCCAATGTCTTCCTAGGTGAGAGACAAGATAAAAGAATAGGTAGGCAATGGTAGGGTTTGGATTTCTTCAGAAAATGAATCTATCAAATAGATAATAGGTATCAGTATTTGCATAAAGGTATTAGCTGGAGGCTCATAATCACTGCTCAATCTTACTTGGTAAAGACACATGATAGAAAAATATTGAAATGTTATATATTTTCAAAAAGCATTGCTTAAGGATCATTTTATCAGGAAGATGACAGAGTAGTTGTTTTTCCCCAGCCTCTTCATTAAAAACCTCATTGAAAGGAATTAAATACCAGATATATAGTATTGAAAGCTGGATCCATAAGGTAAAAAGACAGAAGCCACACACAAGGTTAAAAAAATCATGGCATATTATCAGACAACTGAAATATTAAGAATTCCCACTCAGTGTTCCTACCCCCTACCCACAGGAAGAGATAGGGTGAATGATTTGCTGTCTGCAGTGAAATTAAATGAAGGATTTACTTTGATGAGATCATAGATCCATTGATATATCAACATCTATTAAGGAAATGAAATATTGTAGTGTTATTTTTTGGTCCAGACCTGTGATCTCATCAGTGTATGGAGTACCAGGAAAGGAAATTCTTCTTGCCAATGAAGATCAGTGACTGTTCTGCAACTTGGTAGTCTTAGAGAGTTGCCTGGTACATTGAGAAGTTAAATGACTTATCCAGACACACATCCAGTGTGTTACAAAGGTGCAGCTTGAACCCATATTGTCTTGACTCCAATCCCAGCCCTCTGTCTGCCACACTGCACTGTCTTTTTTATATTTAATGTAGTATCACAAAAATGACAAATGTAACTATGAGGAAACATGGAAAGTAAAATAGGCAAAAACTGAATTATATATACATTGACTTACAAGGATGTATGAAAAAGGAAAACAACGCCAAAAATAATAAAACTTCAGATATAGATAGAAAGGAACATGATATGGAAGAATCATTTGTTTATCTATTGTCTAGTGATTTTGCTTTAAGTGCTAAGGGGGGTTAATTTTGTTCCTTTTAAATGTATTTGTTGCTGTCTTTGTTGCTGATTACTACATTTGTAAAGAAAACTTTAAAATTTATAAAAGAGAAAAAATGAGACAGAGAGATAAGCCAAGTATTGTGGTGACATCAATTTTGCATGCTCTGGGTATTTTGAATTTAGATGATTCAAAATTAGTTTTCTAGCTTTTCTTTCTCTATATTTTATGGTGATAGTTATTCCAAAGACATCATTAATTGACACTGAAGTGACCAGCAAGAATGGCAAATAATTTCAAAGGTGTAGTTCAAAATTTATAGAATTTTGAGTTTCAAGCAGGAGAATAATTCATATTTGACTTACCAGTTATTTTTTACTATTTTCATTTCAGTTAAATAATTTGATTAAAATAATGGTGGTCTAAGAACATAGTTTTCTTTGGGAATTGAAAAAATAAATAATGAAGTAAATTAACTAATATTCACATGTAACTACTATAAAATTATATGTGAAATGAAGAAACAGATAATTAAATACAAATTAAATTTAATTTTAAAATAATGACCATTTGCAGATTTTGACTCAATTCATGTGAGAAAAGGAGACATAATTTTGTCATTCAATTCCACTTAAATATGCTATTTTGTTTTCTTAATTAGGATATCAAAACCATAATTCTGGAAGTTATATCTTACCTTCTCTTTATTCTCTAGTATAAACTGTAATGAAATTAGATGAAGTTATTAAGTGAGATACAGGCAATTTCATTTTTGCACCATTTTCATTCTTTCTTTCCCTTCCAGGAATGCAAGAAGATGGCCTCTAATGATAGATCCTCAAGGTCAGGCTAATAAATGGGTAAAGAATATGGAAAAAGCCAATAGCCTTCACATAATCAAATTAAATGATGCGGACTATGTAAGGACCCTGGAAAATTGCATCCAGTTTGGTACGCCTGGTATGTAACTAAATAGTAAAACTGTATATTACCAAAATGCCTGGAGAGGGCACAATTAACTCAAAAATTGTTTAAGATGCAAAAAAGGACAAACATCAGATACATACAAAAATGGTAATTTTATTCTTCCATTTCATTATTTGATAATCAAATTAAACTCTGATAATTGTAATCACAGCAAGTTAGGAAATTTTCCATGCCTAAAGATTTGTTTGCAATGATTTCTCTAATTTAGCTGTTTTAATTGTTGCCAGAAGTTGGGCACACTTTAATTTTCATTATGATTCTGATTTACTTTTTAAGAGTCTCTGTGATATATCAAAACTTGCTTACCACACCATCAGTCCTGTTGCCATTTTTTTCCTTTCCCCATATGTAATATGAGTATTAAGGAATTTATGATACTTGTGTTGTTGTGTCATTGTCATAACAAAGGCATCAAGAATCTCATAATTACTTTTCAGGAAAAATCTCATGTAAGCTTTACATTTATCAACCTGAGAAACTAGATTAAATATTTTATTGTTTGAGTAAATCTATAATTAATTATATATATTTATATATATAATATATATATATTTAAACTTAAAAAGATGTAGAAAAATACCCAAATACCCCCCAAAATATAAAAATCTTATTTTCTGTTTGAGATAGTATTGCATAGCAAAAGTATCCTAAACAATTTCATAATTTTACATATCAGTTTTTATAATGAAGTATATACTTACAAATATTAAAATTGAATGAGAGCAGGGTTTGATAGCTGTGGGAAATAACCAGAATTGAATATATATATATATATACACATATATATGTGTGTATATATATGTATATATATATGTGTATATATATACACATATATATAATGTTAACAAATACAAAACTATTGATTCATTCAACAAATATTTAAAATTGTG